CATTAGTTTTCTCTTGAATATATTTAAGAGTAGACCTATGAACCTCCCTGAGAATTTGTGTCCCCTTATAATGAAATCTAAAGGAAAATACAGGAATATCACCCCTGTCTTTATATTCTGTGGACATAAAAGAAAATTATATAAGGTTGGATCTAGATTTAATCATATTTAGAACAGATTCATTAAATCAGTGAATTAAAGTATGACTAAGTCAGGATGTTTCACATAATTTTAACATTTACCAACCAGCTTGTCTTAATAAAGATGCAATATTTTCTGTTGTATTCTTGTACTCAGAATGCTACCACTGTGCTTATTTTAGGAGTATGGTCCAAAATGGTCAGATGTCAACAGAGCAATTTCAGACTTCTAGTGGGTTTTAGTCTGGTAGCGTTTCAGCCAATCTTGAGAGAATTGAAGAAGCTACACCAGGGTTGGACCTAGTTAATAGCTGGTTAATACTTTGAGGAGAGACAACTGGGAAATCCCAGGTCTGTAAGCTAGACATAGAAGTCAAGCTTGACTTGAAGGACAAGTGATTTGCCTCCAGAAGCCTCACACTTCCATTCCCATCCTTAATTTTGCAAAAAAAAACAAAAAACACCACCCTGAAAAAATATAAACTGCAGAAGACTGCAGCAAATGTTGATAATGTGTCTTTTGCCAGCAAATGTTGATAATGTGATCTTGGGGTGCTGGGGACTGGATTCGTAGGCACGTTTCTGCATTAACTGATTTGTTGCTGTACTATTTGTGTGCTGCAGTCCTTTGCAGATATGACCAGCCTGGGTTTTGACTCAGGCAGTTCTCTGAAAAGCATGAATCATGAGAAACAATGCCATAAAGTTTTGTGGATTGTTTTCCACATTCCTGGAATTTCAGACAAAGTGGCATGCTAACCTTGAACTTTTGTCCAGATGGACTGTGAGATGTTTCTTGCCAACATCCTTTAATGAAAGTTGTTCAGAGGAAACTCATCCAAGGTTGAGTACTAATTTAAAATACGTTTAGATCACAGCACGTACCAACACCTGAATGTTAGAAATAGTATACTGTATTCTTGTGAACATATTAAAAAAGCATAAGATGTCCAATGCAATCCCAGTGTTGTACTGACATAAATCCAAGGCATCTCAAAGAGACTTCTGCATGAAATACATTGGCTGGGTCATGCATAGTGAACACCTGAATGTTAGAAATAGTATACTGTATTCTTGTGAACATATTAAAAAAGCATAAGATGTCCAATGCAATCCCAGTGTTGTACTGACATGAATCCAAGGCATCTCAAAAAGACTTCTGCATGAAATACATTGGCTGGTTCATGCATAGTGCTAAGCTAGGAGTCAGCAATATTTTCTGGTCCTGGGTACCATCTTTCCCTGAAAATCCTCTGGACTCTGCCCAGAGTCACTTTTATGTGAGATGGGTAGCTATATGAATATGATGAATGAATGAATGAATGAATGAATGAATGAATGAATGAATGAATGA